CCAGTTCTTGAAGATGACCAGTCGTGGTTGTGATACGCCATCTGCCACGGCGATCCCGACGATCGCCGGCGATCGCTCCGACTGCCATGCTGGAATGAAGAGCCTGACCGGGATTGGACAGGAAACAGAGAAGCACAGCGGGTCCGGATCTGGTTTCACTTTAACTCTGCGGCCTGAAAGAAGAAAATCAAGATTTCTATTTCATCATCTTCCTCGTACCGACCGTTCATGCGAAAGTGAAGATTGGTGTATGACAGATCTTGAAGATGAGAGCGAGGGCGAGCTGCCACAGGGCGTTGTAGACCCCGGCCCCGCCGGGCGGATCGGGATGTCGTCCACTGGCCGACTCAGTTTTTTACAATCGCAGAGACTACGACCTCAACCCGCCGCCGCGTTGAGAGCTCAGAGATGAGCTCGCTGGTTGCGGCGGGTGTACGGTTGCGGGAACGCCAGCACGGCGGTGATCCCCTCACGGCGATGACCTCCAGGACCGGGGTACATTCCCCAGCTGGTGGTCTTCCTCCGCGGCACCAGGCGATGTTGGCCCGGATAAAGAGGTCCCCCAAGGCGCCAAAACACGCCCAGCAGATGAAGGGACCAGCTCGCCATGATACCACGGCGTATGTCTCAACGTAGAACAGACCAGCCGGCTGTTGCAAACGGGTTATGGAGCGCAGCGTGAAGGCGGCAACCAGAGCGGCGAAGAACGAGCCCAGAGTCTCAAGGGAAATAATAACCTACCGCAAGAGAGACGAGGACGAGGATCATCAGGAGACATGGAGTCATGACCGACGCACCGGTGTCACACGTTAATCAAAACCTCCTCCAGGCTGAACAGAACTCCTCCGCATCGGCGCCCAAACGCCACCGACACTCCAGCTGCTGCAGCAGCCGACAACACTGCAGACACACCAACACAGAGAACTAAGAATAAAAATCATGTTAAAATGACGTCGTTATAATGATGTTGTTAGTTTATATGATTGCGGCTGAAGTCACCGAACGCAGACCAGCGACAGCGTTAACCTCTCGCCGCTTGCCCTCGTTTCGTGCTGTACTTGAGAAGAGACTGGCAAAAGTTTCCTGAGCAGCAGGCACGTGGATCAGCGGACCTCCTTCCCAGGCCTGAAGACGGACACCCGCAGCAGGCTGTGACCGTCTGATCAGCGCGTCATTCCATCCAGTAGCCCGGATGATGAAGCCGCTGAGGATCGTCTTTGATCTCTGCAACAAAACCAAGTCTATAATCAAATAACTGCTGCACAGACCTGCTGGATCCTGGGCTAGGTGTGCACTGTAGTTTCTAACAGCATCTCACCTTTGGGTTCCTGAGCCACAGGCGTACGGAGCGAGACTCGCACAGTGCACGCCAGGAAGAAACAGAAGCGCCCAGAAGTCAGGAAGTAGTTCAAACGTAGGCTCCCCGCTCACTAAAGACAGTAAAGCAAGAGAAGACGTCGGTCAATATTACAGTCACGAAAACTGTCATTATCATTGTTAGTGAATCATTCATCTTACTTTTCAGAGAACTTACTGAGCAAATGTTTACACTCTCAACAATTAAATGGAGAACACACCATGTTGAAAACTGAATTTACAACATCTACAACTTCCTCGTTCAACACAGTGAATAAAGCTACAAAATGTGTATAAGGGGGGGGGGGGGGGTGGTGGGGGGGGGGGGGGGGGGTGGGGGGGGGGGGGGGGGGGGGGGGGCCGGGGGGGGGCGGGTGGGGGGGGGGGGGGGGGGGGGGGGGGGGGGGGTGGGGGGGGGGGAGGGGGGGGGGGGGGGGGGGGGGGGGGGGGAGGGGGGGGGGGGGGGGGGGGGGGGGGGGGGGGGGGGGGGGGGGGGGGGGGGGGGTGGGGAGGGGGGGGGGGGGGGGGGGGGGGGGGGGGGGGGGGGGGGGGGGGGGGGAGGGGGGGGGGGGAGGGGGGGGGGGGGGGGGGGGGGGGGGGGGGGGGGGGGGGGGGGGGGGGAGGGGGCGGGGGGGGGGGGGGGGGGGGGGGGGGGGGGGGGGGGGGAGGGGGGGGGGGGGGAGGGGGGGGGGGGGGGGGGGGGGGGGGGGGGGGGGGGGGGGGGGGGGGGGGGGGGGGGGGGGGGGGGGGGGGGGGGGGGGGAGGGGGGGGGGGAGGGGGGGGGGGGGGGGGGGGGGGGGAGACTTATATTATTTCCAGATAAAATAACAAAATTATTCTCCAATAAAACAGCTTATAAAAGTACAAGACTCCATTGTTTTTTTCTCCTAGCAATCATTAATGAGACTACTTGATGCTTTTAAGGTTTTATTTACCAACGTATGTTTTCATTTCAATGATCTGTGTTTTTAATTTACTCCGTTAAAGCAACATTTGCCTCATTTTTAAACGAGCCAAACATTGGACCCGTCTATGTCTCAGTGAGATTTCCTGATTGGTGTTTGATTTTGCAAGAAGCCCGGTCTGACCATCCAGGCGTGGCCCAGTCAATCAGCTCGGCCCACTTCTGGACCACTCGGACACTTTGTCGTCGCGTCGTTCGGAACGTCGTCTCGTTGGACGTCAGCAGCACTTGCTCGTGGCTGTACCAGAGGCGACAGACAGACGCCTTCCTTTCAGGTCGGTCATCCAGTCCACCGCCAGGTCGATCACTCCGGCCATGCGTACCTGAAAAGAGCAGGATGCTCAGATGCACCTGAAGCTCATAGCAAAGGATGAACTGTCCTGGTTCAAGACTGATTCATGCGCATGCTTCAGACAGCAGTGCGTTTCACTTCACATGGTTTTTCAGAGGCCCATCCCCTGCTGTGAGTGTGACTCCATATAGAATAAAAGGGCTAATAGTAAAGTTCAGTTTGAGAAATGGTGATGTCGATCTTCGCTGACTGACCTGATAGCAGTTCCAATGAGCAGCATCACCAACCCATCCTGACCAGGCGTCCAGCAGATCTTGATCAGCTCCCAGATGGACTCTTTACTCTATACTGGTGATCTGGTGAACAAACGTTCAAGGGCAGCAGAAATGTCTATTCATTCCCCAGAGTTTGCCCAACTAGGCAGCCAGGAGACTTTGTACTCTGGATGAGTGAAAGACTTTTCTTCCAGATCTAAGACACTGCGTGTAATACAGTGAGCATTGGCGAAACGATTAGTGTAGTGGACGTGTTGCTGCGCAGAGTGCGAGCGGCTAGATGCATAATGGACGATGAAACACAGGAGACGACACAGAACTAAATCAGATGGATAATAAGAAACCTGGTCGAAAATTCGGTTGTCAGGTCTGTGTCTCTGGAATTTCTTCCTGATGCCAGTCGATATGGTGTGGAAGTCTTCATACGTGCCCACGTAGGAAAAGCTTCGTCCAGGAAATCATCAAGTTTCCAGTTCCGTTCATCTCTTGCATGTGGGCCGTTGAGCACTGCTGACGACCGGGGCAAACGCGGCAGCGACAAGTCACAATCTATCCGCCCTGGACTGTACTAACTTCAGAGAACAGATCCTAGAGTTTCAAGTTTTACCATCAATGGATTTATACTACCGTGGATTAAAGATGATGGGCTTGTGGAGAGAGAAGACTATATGTCACATTTAAGACCTACATTTTCCCATCAAGCCTCACAGTTAATGCTTCGTGCTGCGTGGTCAGCGGTGTGTTGCTGATTGCTCTTGGCTGCACACCTCCACCTCTCTGAAGAAGGAAAGAATGTTTTGCATGTGAGTCTTCTATTTTCAATCAGTCGGCCCAGTCACTGGGTGCACATTACTAAGATTGACGAGAAAACGTGGGAAAAGCCAGGATGCCCAATTACTTTCATTGTTGCATGTAATATGATCTAAGCTATGTGTGAATCATGTTATTCTATGAAATAAAAAAAGATATAAGTGTGTGCAAGGTGTTTAAACTACGTCTTTGAGTGTTTTTTTTGTCCAACCAGCAGTTAAAACCAAAACAAATCAGTTTCTTAATTATATAGAATGACTGAAAATCTGCTCATTCCTACATTTAAGAGCGGGACCCTTTCAAGCTAAGTCTGCAACATTCTTCATTACTTTTGGTTAAAAAAAAAATGACGAAGAGTGAATGATTTCTCTTACTTGAATGCAATTACCAACGCACAACTCTCAGATGTTGTTGATACTGGTGCTGACTGGGGGTTTATTCACACAAAACAGTACGAATACACAGATAAATAAATTAGTACTTAGCTGTTTACGTTAGCAGCCAAAGCTAGCCGTATCAGCCAGCATATTAGCATCACCTGCTCAGCTACTGTTAAGCTCGATAAAATCATATTACCTTCGCCGACCTCATGTACAACCGGTACTGCAGGTGGAAAACGTTTATTTAATTGATCAGTTATATAAAGTCGAGTGTTCCTGACATTTTACTGGTTAGAGAGGGTTATTTATATTTAGAGAGACAGCGTCAGGAGACTGCTTAGCACAACACCGCTGCTCTAACCTCAATCTCGCGATATGACACCAATCTCGCCGTTGATTGCGTACCGGAGCAAAGATCGTCTATTCCAAAGATGACTCACACAATAAGTAAATACAAATCTCCTTCTCCTGTTCTCTACAAGCCTCCATAATGATCACCACAGTTGAATCAACACCTCTTTAAACACGAAACTAGATACGATGGATAAATTATTACTATTATTATTATTATTATTATTATTATTATGTTTGTGGTGGTCACAGCATTCATCTTTTGTAGAAGTGACTATTTCTTTAGATAATCAAGAGAAGATGCTGCTTAGAGTTTTAATAGGAAGTAAAACTACTAATAATACGATAATAATACAACAGTCTGCACTAAATCCTCCTCCATGAATGTTATAATGTTCAGTTTGTGTTAAAGAGGTGTTGATTCAACTGTGTGATCATTATGGAGGCTGTAGAGAACAGGAGAAGGAGATTTGTATTTACTTATTGTGTGAGTCATCTTTGGAATAGACGATCTTTGCCTCCGGTACGCAATCAACGCGAGATTGGTGTCATATCGCGAGATTGACGGTTAGAGCAGCGGTGTTGTGCTAAGCAGTCTCTGACGCTGTCTCTCTAAATATTAAATAACCTCTCTAACCAGTAAAATGTCAGGAACACTCGACTTTATATAACTGATCAAATTAAAATAAACGTTTTCCACCTGCAGTACCGGCTGTAACATGGAGGTCGGCGAAGGTAAAATATGACTTTATCGAGCTAACGTAGCTAGAGCAGGTGATGCTAATGCTGGCTGATACGGCTAGCTTTGGCTGCTAACGTAAACAGTAAGTCAGCTAATTTATTTATCTGTGTATTCGTAGCTGTTTTGGTGTGAATAAAACCCCAGTCAGCACCAGTATCAACACATCTGAGAGTTGTGCGTTGGTAATTGCATTCAAGTAAGAGAAATCATTCACTCTTCGTCATTTTTTTTTAACCAAAAGTAATGAGAAATGTTGCAGAATTAGCTTGAAAGGGTCCCGCTCTTAAATGTAGGAATGAGCAGATTTTCAGTCATTTATATGAATTAAAACTGATTTGTTTTGGTTTTAACTGCTGGTTGGACAAAAAAACACCTTCAAAGACAGTAGTTTAACCTTGCACCACTTATATCTTTTTTATTTCATAGAATAAATGATTCACCAATGAACTTAGTCATATTAATGAACAATGAAAGTAATTGTTGCATCCTGGCTTTTCCAGTTTCTTGCATCATTAGATGTGGGAGGGGGACTGATGGAAAAAACCACATCAAACATGTTTTCCTCTTCAGAGAGGTGGAGGTGTGCAGAGCAAACACACAGAGAGCAGAGAAGGATATGAGGCTGATGGGAAATGTAGTCTTAATGTGACATAAGTCTTCTCCTCCACAGCATCATTTAATCACGGTAGTAAAACCATGTGCAGCTGTAAACTAGGTTATACTGTTCTCCTGAAGTTGTACAGTCCAGGGCGATGATGTGATGTGCTGCCCTTTGCCAGGTGTCAGCAGTGCCACGCCCACAGAAGAGATGAACGGAACTGGAAACTTGATGGATTTCCTGGACGAGCCTTTTCCTGACGTGGGCACGTATGAAGACTTCCACACCATCGACTGGCTCAGGGAGAAATCCAGAGACACAGACCGACACCGCAAGGTTCGACCAGGTTTCCTTTATACATCTTTAAGTTCTGTTGTCTCTGTGTTAGTCATGTCCTTCCTCTGAGGGACAGCACTTCAGCATCTCACTGTGAAGTTGATTCACGCAAGTGTCTTAATCTGGAAGAAAAGTCTTTCACTCATCAGAGTACAAAGTCTCCTGGCTGCTAGTTGGTGCAAACTCTGGGAATGAATAACATTTCTGTGCCCTTGACGTTTGTTCACCAGATCACCAGTAAGAGTAAAGAGTCCATCTGGGAGCTGATCAAGAGTCTGCTGGACGCCTGGTCAGGATGGGTGGTGATGCTGCTCATTGGACTGCTCTCAGGTCAGTCACAGAAGACGACAGTCACCATTTCCCAAACTGAACTTACTCATTAGCCCTTTTATTCTATATGGAGTCACACTCACAGCAGGGGAGGGCCTTGAAAAGCCATGTGAAGTGAAACCACTGCTGTCTGAGCATGAGCATGAATCAGTCTTGAACCAGGACAGTCATCCCTTTGCTATGGCTTCAGGTGCACTGACGCATCCTGCTCTCTTCAGGTACGCTGGCCGGAGTGATCGACCTGGCGGTGGACTGGATGACCGACCTGAAGGAAGGCGTCTGTCTGTCGGCCTTCTGGTACAGCCACGAGCAGTGCTGCTGGACGTCCAACGAGACGACGTTCGACGACCGAGACAAGTGTCCGCAGTGGCAGAAGTGGGCCGAGCTGATGACGGGCCACGCTGAGGTCAGACCGGGCTCTTGCCAAAATAAAACACCATCAGGAAATCTCACTGAGAACATAGACGGGTCAAAATGTTTGAGCTCGTTTAAAAATACAAATGTTGCTTTACGGAGAAATTAAAAACACAGATCATTGAAATGAAAACACGTTGGTAAATAAAACTTAAAAGCATCAAGTAGTCTCATTAATGATTGTAGGGAAAAAAACATGGAGCTGTACTTTTAATAAAAGCTGTTTTATTGAGAAATAATTTTGTTATTTTATCTGGAAATAATATAAAGTCTCTTATACACATTTGTAGCTTTATTCATGTGTTGAAGAGGAAGTTGTAGATGTTGTAAACTTCATGTTTCACATGGTGGTGTTCTCCATTTAATTTGAGAGTGTGAAACATTTGCTCAGTAAGTTCTTGAAAAGTGAAGATGAATGATTCACTAACAATGATAATAGCATGTTTTCGTGACTGTAATATTTGACCGTCTTCTCTGTGGCTTTACTTCTTCAGGGAGCGGGAGCCTACGTGTTGAACTACTTCCTGTACGTTCTGTGGGCGCTTCTGTTTTCCTTCCTGGCGGTGTCACTGGTGCGAGTCTTCGCTCCGTACGCCTGTGGCTCAGGAATCCCAGAGGTGAGATGCTGTAGAAACTACAGTGCAGCACCTCACAGGGATCCAGCAGGTCTGTAGCAGGCAGTTATTGTGATTATAATCTGTGGTTTTGTGCAGATCAAGACGATCCTCAGCGGCTTCATCATCCGGGGCTACCTGGGGAAATGGACGCTGCTGATCAAGACGGTCACCCTGGTGCTGGCGGTGTCGTCCGGTCTCAGCCTGGGGAAGGAGGGTCCTCTGGTCCACGTGGCCTGCTGCTGCGGAAACCTCTTCTGCAGTCTCTTCTCCAAGTACAGCAAGAACGAGGGCAAGCGGCGAGAGGTACGCTGTCGCTGGTCTGCGTTCGGTGACTTCAGCCGCTCATTAAAACCTAACAACATCATTATAACGACGTCATTTTAACATGATTTTTATTCTTAGTTCTCTGTGTTGGTGTGTCCTGCAGGTGTTGTCGGCTGCTGCAGCAGCTGGAGTGTCGGTGGCGTTTGGGGCGCCGATCGGAGGAGTTCTGTTCAGCCTGGAGGAGGTTTGTTATAACGTGTGACACGGTGCGTCGGTCATGACTCCATGTCTCCTGATGATCACTCGTCCCTCGTCTCTCTTGCAGGTCAGTTATTATTTCCCTCTGAAGACTCTGTGGCGCTCGTTCTTCGCCGCTCTGGTTGCCGCCTTCACGCTGCGCTCCATCAACCCGTTTGGCAACAGCCGGCTGGTGCTGTTCTACGTCGAGTACCATACGCCGTGGTACATGGCCGAGCTGGTCCCCTTCATCCTGCTGGGCGTGTTTGGCGGCCTCTGGGGGACCCTCTTTATCCGGGCCAACATCGCCTGGTGCCGGCGGAGGAAGACCACCCAGCTGGGGAAGTACCCGGTCCTGGAGGTCATCGCCGTGACGGGGATCACCGCCGTGCTGGCGTTCCCCAACCCGTACACCCGCCGCAGCACCAGCGAGCTCATCTCTGAGCTCTTCAACGACTGCGGCGCGTTGGAGTCGTCGCAGCTCTGCGATTATGTTAATAACCCCAACATGAGTCGGCCAGTGGACGACATCCCGGACCGCCCGGCGGGGCCCGGGGTCTACAACGCCCTGTGGCAGCTCGCCCTCGCTCTCATCTTCAAGATCGTCATCACCATCTTCACTTTCGGCATGAAGGTCGGTACGAGGAAGATGATGAAATAGAAATCTGATTTTCTTCTTTCAGGCCGCAGAGTTAAAGTGAAACCAGATCCGGACCCGCCTGTGCTTCTCTGTTTCCTGTCCAGATCCCGTCAGGTCTCTTCATTCCCAGCATGGCAGTCGGAGCGATCGCCGGGCGGATCGTCGGGATCGCCGTGGAGCAGATGGCGTATCACCACCACGACTGGATCATCTTCAAGAACTGGTGCCGGCCCGGCGCAGACTGCGTCACGCCCGGACTCTACGCCATGGTGGGAGCTGCCGCCTGTCTGGGTGAGAGGTCTCAGCTCTGCTTTTAGCTGCATGAAGAAGAAAAGCAGCAGATCTGATTGGTTTGTTCTAGAAACAAATCTAATCAATGAATTGATTAATCGACTAAAGCAGTTGTGGTTGTGTCCGTCCAGGCGGGGTGACCAGGATGACCGTCTCCCTGGTGGTCATCATGTTCGAGCTCACTGGCGGGTTGGAGTACATCGTCCCCCTCATGGCCGCCGCCGTCACCAGCAAGTGGGTGGCCGACGCCTTCGGGAAGGAGGGAATATACGAGTCGCACATCCAGCTCAACGGCTACCCCTACCTGGACATCAGGGACGAGTTCACCCACCGCACCCTGGCCACCGACGTGATGCGGCCCCGCAGGAACGACCCCCCCCTGGCCGTCCTCACCCAGGACAGCACCACGGTGGAGGACGTGGAGACGCTGATCAAAGACACAGATTATAACGGCTTCCCCGTGGTTGTGTCCAGAGAGTCGGAGAGGCTCATCGGCTTCGTTCAGCGCCGGGATCTCACCCTCGCCATCAGTAAGACGCTAGTTTGTTTAAATGTTGGATTCTAACTGATGATAAAGGCAGAGAGATAAAAAACTGACCTCTCTCTGTTTTTCCCACAAACAGAAAACGCCCGTCAGAAGCAGGACGGCGTGGTGAGCAGCTCGGTCGTCTACTTCACCGAGGACGCGCCGCAGCTGCCGGCCAGCAACCCGCAGCCGCTGAAGCTGCGACGCATCCTGAACCTCAGCCCCTTCACCGTCACCGACCACACGCCCATGGAGACGGTGGTGGACATTTTCCGCAAGCTGGGCCTCCGCCAGTGTCTGGTCACCAGGAGCGGGTAAGAAGTGTCCAGCTGCTGTAACACAGCCGTGTTCAGGAAGCAGACAAGCTCACGTCCCTCTCTGTGTCTCTGCAGGCGCCTCCTGGGCATCATCACCAAGAAGGACGTCCTGCGCCACATGGCTCAGATGATGAACCAGGATCCAGAGTCCATCATGTTCAATTAGCAGCAGAGACGAGTCCGCTCCGCCCAGCGCTGTAACACTGTACTGCAACCTGAGAGTCCCTCCCACCTCCCGACAGGCAAGTCCCACAAACCACCGCTCCACGTCTTTTCAGTTCAAAGGTAGCACTACGCTTTTATTTTGAAAAGGTAAACGTTTTCGCAGACTGAAAAGAAAAGAAAAAAAAAAAACCTCTCCTCTTTCTTTAATGTCACCAAGTGAAAAGACGACGTTGCCGTCAGAGAGTCGAGCCTGTGTTCAGAGCTCAGGGAGTCGCAGCTGATTTCAGCTTTAGGTTCTTCAGTTTCAGCTGCAAATAAAACGATTATCATCCGTCTCTCACTCGATCATCTCGCGCTGATAATTCAAATCAAAGGTTTAAACAGGAAAAGACTGAAGACGGCAGCGACAGAGAACAATCACAGGGTTGTTGCACCTGGAAAATTTAAGAAAATGAATTTGTTAATTATCATCTCTCTCTCTTTACACTTATATACATGATGCCAATGTTGCTCTGGAGAAACTATGACCTGAAGCTCTTTTAGTTGAGCGACGACTCAGTTCTCACATGTTGTTCTATGGAATATTTCTCAAGGTCTCCTCACTCACTTCCTCTCAGCCCTGTTGTCGCCCTTGTAAGTTTGTGCCTGTAAATTCTGTGACCAAAGTTTGAATATTCAGTTTTCTGCCTCTAAACTCCGGATCAGAAAGTTTGTGCCTTCAGTTTTACTCCTTACGATACTGTGAAGCCATTAGTGCTCTGAGATCTGATGTTGTCATCCTGTCAAAGATAAGCATGAAACTGAAGCCACACACGTTCACAGGCAGAACACTGAGGGCCTGAGTTTACAGCTACAAACTCGTTGACAGTTCACTGGACGATGATGGATGTTGATATCAGCGTTAGAAAAATCACTTTTCATCAGTTTATTAAACATCACACTAAATCTTTAAATCTGCTCTGGAGATGAGACGTGCGGTTTAATGATAAAATGGTACTGTAAAAAATAATTATGATAATATTAATGGGACCAGTTGTGAGGTTTAACAAACCACTGAATTCTCATATAACTGTATAAACTCTCTGTACCTGAGTTTGGGACTGTTGCACTTTGTGTTATGTGTTGCTGCCATATTTATATTAATGCTGCCTGTATCAATGTTAACGCATCAGTGGCTCCGTACAACATGTTCCTGCTGCTGTGACCTGACGCCACAAACACTAAACGATGCTTTCACTGTCAGATCAGAAACGGTTCTTGTCAGTTCTGTTAGTTTTAGTATCTTTGTTCATTTAATGATGTGAAAAGGTTTAAAAAGCCTTAAAATGTGACTCGGTTTATTCTGATTCTGCACAAACACTGAGGTCAGTGATTCTCATCCTGAAACCCGACGGCCTCCACACACTGAAGGTTTGACTGAGAACATTTCTAATTCATCGATCAGATGTATTGGCTCATTACAGACGTACAGACTTTAGATCACCTTGAATAAGATTAAACATGTAACTTCCACACTGTCACATTTACAGACTTTAAACCTGGAGAGAAGAAGCAGCAAATAGAATCTGTACGTGACGCTGTGACACTGTTGTTGTCGCTGTAGTCGCTCAGCTCAGTCAGCGCCACAGAGACGAGCAGATCAATGAGCTTTGTCTCAGGATTTTAACGTCTCAGTCTCCGAATGTCTAAATTAAAATCTGTGGAGGTTTGATTCACAGATAAATGTTTCACAGTTGCACAAAATCCCTCGTGTGTTGGGGCCTTTTTAAACGAGGGTTTCAGACCCACTAATGAAGTTGTTTATTATAAGCTGCTGTCACATAAAGAACTGGCTGTAGCTCTGCTGCTTGTGACTCTGCATTAAGGAGCAGCGGCTGCAGGTGGATTTTTACAGTGAAGGAAAATTACTAAGAAGGTTTAAAGTGTCTAATATTTCTGTACATTCACAAACGACATAAAGAAAAAAGAGAAAAACAAACGTTAGTTTTCGAGTCGTGCTCCTTCAGTGTTTTATCCGCTCGGTCACTTCCTGTGTCGTAATATTCGTTGTGTGAAAAATAACCTCGGCCGGTCGGAGCTCCAGCTGCTAACTCTTCATCAAAACTGGAAACGTGGAGGGAATTATAGAAACAGCAAATGATCAATGTTTTGTTTTTTAAATGCCAAGAGAATGTACTGGAAAAAATAACTGTGTATATATTGAAGATTTATTGTGAGCATTTTAATTTAATTTGATTTTGTCATTTTGTCTGAAACACTAATGTTGAGCTCTGCTTCTTTTTTTATGTTGAACTCTAAAATATTGATCAGACTCATTGCTGGAACAGAAAACACACATTTGCACTTTTGTTTTTGTAAGTGAAATGACTGGAAAATAAACCTTTCACTTCATCTGCAGATGGTGAATAAAGACGCTTCAGTTTCTTTTTCTTTTCTTTTGATGTGTACAGAGTTTACTTTGTGTTTTCTCATTGATGCTGTCAATCATGTGAGCAGCTGCTCAGTGCGGAGGAAACACGCATTTTCATCTTTTTTATGGGATTTATTGACGAGAAAATACAGAATATCTGCGACTTATCCTGGAACAGAAAACTGAAACAACTTGAATTGTCCACTAGATGGAGCTGTTTAACATCATGACTTTGTTTCATCAGTCGAGATAAACCACATAGATAATTAATTTATACTTAAAATAAACCAACATGAGAAACATGGAAACAGTAGAATCAGATCACATGGTGCCCCCTTCTCTTAACTGCTCACATATCAACCATTTACAAACTTAAAACTTAAAGTAGTGAAATAATTTTTATTCATAAAACACAAATATTCTAACAATCAACACTTTATTTAAACTCATGGTCTTCATCTTTATCTAATGTGTCACATACATGTAGAAACTAAGCAAAGCTCCCTACGAAGGACAGATCAGGTGTGGGCGGAGCTCTAACACGCTGCTGCAGAAGATGCTGAACACGGGACTCCTCCTCCTCCTGCTGCTGCTCCTGCTCCTCCTGCTCCTCTCTCCTCCTCCTGCTGCTCTTCCTCCTCCTCCTGCTCCTCTCTCCTCCTCCTCCTCCTCCTCCTCCTCCTGCTCCTCCTCCTCCTCCTGCTCCTCATGGTTTAGTGGTCCCCTCCTCAGCTTTGCTGGCTCTCTCCATGTCAGAATAATACTTCAGGGCTCTCCTCACCGGCTCCAGGATGTGTTGCTGCACAACAAGGCGACAATATGTTAAAAGAGTCGGTGACTAATTTGAATTCTTTTATTGTTCTGTTGTTTCTGTTTGATTCACCTGCACCTACCTGCTGGATTGTAATAAAATACACATTTCTAAGGGAGGTCTCAGTAACAGTGAGGTGCGTCTGAGGTGTACATACTGATTCTGGGAGCATCGGTTCAGTGTGTGAGCGCAGTGACAGTTCACCTCCAGACAGGGGAAGAGCTTGGTGAGCTCGCTGAAGAGCGGCAGCAGGACGAATCGGATGAAGCTGGTCTGAGAGGACGGTTTGGACACTTTGTCTCGGTCCATGAACGGAGTCACCGGAAGCCCCTTGAGCTTCTCTGTGTCGCTCTGAGGCACAAGAACGAAGGCAGACGCATCCATCAACCCTTTATCCTTCAAATGCCTGATGTATTTTCATTTCTGATGTATTTCACTCAGTTATTAGCCCTCGGGAAATAAACCACAGGAGCAGAGCTGTCGGTGTATTTGGATGTTTGGTCCCTTTTTCTTTTTCTTTTGGAAAATGTTCAGTTGTGAGCTCTTGGATTTATCCATTTTAATTCTAATGTCCATGAGTTATGGTTTTTGTTTGAATGATTTCTGCTTTTGAAGTTTTAACACGTTTCTGTTTCTTTATCAGCTTCATCCAGATATTTTTCTACAGGATGTTTTATTTTGAAATCCAGCTCTTTGTTTCAGTGACACCTGAATGTGTTCCTCTCTGTTTCTTTGATAAGCTCCTTAATAACCACTCGCTCCCTCGTGCTGGTCGCAGCTGTTTCCTGTCACTTCCTGTCTATTGATCTGTGAAGTGAGAGTAAAAACCTGGTTGAAGAACTCCTGCAGCAGACAGTCCAGCCACGGCTCGGCCACCGCCATCGGCCTCGCCTCGTTGGAGATGTCGCTCACCTTCACCATGATCTTCATCAGCTGGAAACGAGGACGCAGAGTCAGAGTCACAGGTAAGAACTTTTTGTCCTGTTGATATATGGTCCCTTTCAAAGTAAGAGCTGGAACTTCAAAAGGTTTAACTTGAATGAAATTGAAAACCTCTCAGCTTTTTGTTGTTTAGAAGCATTTAAAGGGGCGACTCCTTCATTTACTGCAGAATTACTTCTCTTTTTTTATTTTCCACATTTATCTTATTGTTGTATTATTTAGTTCCTTTCATTTTTGACTTCTGATTGCCATTTGTTTTAATCTTGAACATCTTTTATTTTCAGAATAGCTTTATCAATTTGTACATTGAAATATCCTGAAAAAACATATAAATAAATAATAAATAAAAAAAGCAGAGTTAAACGCTTTTCTAGAAATTAAACTGACCTGAAGACTAAAACTAAAAAGCCCAGAAATGAGTCTTTACCACTTCCTTGTGCTCCTTGTTGGTGAAGTCGAACACCGGCTGAAGGACTTTGAACTTGTTGAGGATCTCGTTGTGCCTCGCCATGTCGGTGGCCAGAATACATCTGAAAACATGTATTTAGATGTAGAACAACACAGTCTCACCATGGACACAGTGAGCGATGCTGCAGCTCTAGTCTTACTTGATCATTCCTCCTCGGATGTGTTTGTACTGCTCGCAGGTCAGGTTTTTAAGGATGTTGCACTCCGGCTGCAGGAAAACAGTGTTACAGCATCTTAAAGCTCCTCCAGTCTAAAGGTAGATGTGCATGTGTAGTTTGATTATAGATCAGGTCTAGGTTCGATATTAATACTGTGAAAGTGTCCAGACAAATGCAAACAGCCTGTATTCAGACACTGAGCTTTAAAAACGAGCTGGTTTTTTGTTCTTAAAACCACAAATATATCTTCTGACGGATCAACGCTTCGTAATAAAACACAGGACAAGAGGAAAAGATTGAATGAGCTTCAGTGTCAAATCTAAAAGGAAAGTCTGATTCTGTGTTTCTAATCTGAAGGGAAATGGAGTTGTAAATTCATAATTCAGATTGTGGTAAAATCAGTAGATTTGTGCTGCCACTTTTTCAGATCAGCTTATTATTATCTCTTTCCCCAGTCCTCTGATGCAGCGTGTGTTCTGTACCTTGGACAGGATGCCAAAGGCGACGGCGCAGTGGTGGTTTTCCAGGGGTGAAATGTCGTTGTAGCGAAGAGCCAAGTCAGTCTGAGCGTTGATCTGCGCGGGAAAAGAAACGTACACGTCTGTTTTAAACACACACCGTGATATTATCAGAGCAACAGCTGATGAAACCAAGCAGAGCGGCGGTGAGGGGACCTGGTACACGTTGTTGTAGCCGGGGTGGTCGAGGTCGTGGCACAGAGCCGAGGTCAACATGACGAACAGGTCGATTCTTCCTAATTTATTCCTGAGGTCCGTGAGCCAAATCAGCCCGTACATCTGCAGACAGACAGAACAGCTGCTTCCTCATCATTAAAGTCGTGGTGCAACAATCAAATACAAAGCTAATGATATTAAATGAAGATTATATTTGATGAGAGGTAGATGAACTGATATTATCAACCTGAATTGGCTTTTCACAGATATAAAGACATCACCTGTGTGTCGGCAGAAATTCAAATCAATCCTAAATGTTGGAGCTGCATTTTTTCATATATACATGACCTTATTTTTACCAGCTCGTACCATCTGGGTGACGCAGAAGCAGTGCTGGAAGTTGTGGAAGGGGATGTTGTTGTAGTGGCAGTAAACCTCAAACAGGAAGTTCTGCAGCACCTCCAGCTCGATGTGGAACGCCGTCAGGAAGTCCAGGTCCATGTACATCACCTGGAGCAGCACCAGCATCTCCGCCTCCTCCCACTGCCTGAAACGACCCCGCACACAGGTGTGAGAGGAGTGTGTGTGTGTGTGTGTGTGTGTGTGTGTGTTTATCTGTGTTTGTTCTCACCAGTTGTCAAAAATGGGAGTTTTCAGATGCTCTCTCACTTCCTCTGTCACCTGCAGCGAGCTGTGATGGAAAAGACAAAGTTGTAAGTTCTAAAAAACTTTTATCAGGTAAAACATGAACTTGACCTGATGAAGATCTGACGAGCAGAAAGTTTCTGAGGTGACACTCATGATGATGTATCATGAATTCCTGACTTCATGTGATCAGTTAACGCTTCAAAGATCATTAATGACTCAGTTACTTCATGCATTAATTAATAAGCCTCCAAATGAGCAGGATTCCAATTTCACAGAAGAAGAGCATCATGTTTTCACTCAAATATACAAAGATGAGTTTCCTGGCTGAGAGGAATCAGCAGTAACAGCAGCGGTGAAACCGGACGGCGAGGTCACCTCATGTTGAGGAACTTCCTGCGGACTTGTTGGCGTTCCTCCTGCACGCTCAGCTGAGACGTTTTGGGTTTCGGGGAGAACTTGGAGAGCTGCTGGTCGCCGTCGTCCTTGAACAGACCCATCCAGCTCAGGTGCTCCCACACTCTGACGGGGGAGAAGTCTTATTTATTTACTGTCATATGTTTCTGTCATTGTTTCCTTGGAGGCTTTTGTTGTGAAGCAGCCACAGGAAGTGTCACTGAGCTTAGAACCAGTTTCTATTGTTTTGCTTGTGTGGGTTTGAAATTGACTCCCAACAGAGTCAGAAACAAATGTTTGTCCTGCAGCTGTGGCAGTTTGAACCCAGTTGTTTCTACGTGTTTGGAGAAGAAGCTGTGATAGAAACCTGCTGTGATCGTCTGTGTTCGTGTGGCTGACCAACCTCCAGCTTCCTCTTGAACGACTCCACGTGGCTCTTGAGCTCGCAGATGATGTCCGGAGACTTCCCCGCGTCCTCCATGACTTTGCTCTCCAGATGATGCAGCCTGAAGGCGGAGACAGGGAACCAGCAGTGAGTCCTTCGCACCCGGACGCTTCAGGAAGTCACCTTTCAGGACGCACTCACCTGTACTCCATGTCGTCCAGCTCCGGTGGCATCGCCACACCTGCAGAAACACAAGTTTACAGTTGAACCTACATTGAACCAAACATTTTGAAAAGATGAATCTGAGGGTTTTAAGAGCTGCAGATCCTCCTCACTCTGCAGGTCTGACGCCACCACCTCCAGCCGGTAGTACGATCCCTCGCTGTTGGCCTCCAGCCGGGGGGAGATGTTCACCACGCTGCCGTTACTGTTGTACATCTTCAGGATGTGGTGAGGCCCCGCCTCCGCCGCCGCCCGGAACAGATCTGTCTCACACATAGTTCAGGTTAGTGCAGGTTAGTTCAGGTTAGTGCAGGGTAGTTCAGGTTAGTGCAGGTTAGTTCAGGTTAGTGCAGGTTAGTTCAGGTTAGTTCAGGTTAGTGCAGGTTAGTTCAGGTTAGTTCAGGTTAGTGCAGGTTAGTCTGGGCAGCTGGCTGCAGCTCGGCACCGGGTCGACTGGTACCAGCTGTGGTTGTTTGAACTTATTGTACATGTTGAAAACCACATGATGAATATTGACAGTCCAAGGCTTCATCACTTACATTGTCCCCTCCATCAAACCTGTTTTCACACTCACTCTGTTGTAATTAGCAGTTGGAAAAATGTACAGGTCGAGGGCCCCAGACAAGGAGGCGAGGTCCAGTTGTCACATGATGTTTATTCATCACTGTCTCAAGAGGACAAAGAGCTTAAAGCTGAGGACCTGTCAAAGCCACATGGAGGTCAGGTCCTCACAGAGAAGCCTCAGGATGTTCACGACCATCAGAAATCATGTTTCATACATGCTGTGCTGCACATATCACTCCTTCTCTGACACATTCACCTGTGATTAAACTGAACGTTTGCATGAAATAGCAGCTGTCACACAGTTTTAAACATTGACATTATGATGATAAATATAAAACCATCAGCCGTCTCTTACCTCTGACATCTGCAGCAGAGCAGTCGGCTCTAAACTCCGCCTGCTCCCGTCTCCCGTTCACCGTGAAATGAATGATTTTTGTTGTCATCCCAGAGACAGGTGAAGCATGACCTGCTCCACAAGTGAAAATGAGAGCTCTTGACACTGACGTGCACCTTGAATGTGGAAAGGGGGCACCTGCATCTGACAGAGGCCCCGCCCACTCATGCATTCAAGACTGAATTACCAACCAGGGAAAGTGGGCAACTGCTCAGGGTCTCCAAACCCCCACAGCCCCCAGAAGCCCTGGATTTACTCAGTTTTATTTGGGTCTACATAATTTCATCAATTGAAAATCTGCCTGAAATTTGACCCATTAAAGGACAGTATTAACTAAACCTGAATAGTTTCAAGTTCTGTTGAGCTCATTTGTTGTAACATGTTTCATCAAATCCCAGATGAAGTATTTTCCATCACAGGAAAACTGTCGGGCCGAAGCGTGAGGAGAGAGGCCAGCTGGAAGTCATGGAGGAGGAGGTGAGCATGGAGTATTTACTGGAGCAGGTGATGCACAACGACATGGGGAAGAGGCTCCAGGTGGGCCAGGAGGTCACAGAGCTCATCCTGGACGGGGAGAAGTCCCCCGAGCTGGAGCAGGACCAGCTACTTCATGGTGAGGACAGGTTGTTGATTTAAAGTCGGAGGTGCTTGTTACTGAGAGTCTGGAGGAAAGACAAAAAGGCTCCAAGTCTTTCTGTGTCTGTCTCAGTGTTTTCTTTGGGTGTTGGACTTTACTTTGGACACTGAACTTCTAAATTCACAAACTCCAGGAACTGAAGCCTCAAAACATCATTTTACAAGAACATGTATCTGAAATCACAACACAGTGTTTGTCTTTAACTGATGTGTGCCGTCATTTAGTCAGACGTCTAAATAAATATAGAAATAACACAACGAATAACAAAATAAAATACACATAACAGAAAATAAATTGACCATAAGTGGTCCAGGTATAAACTAGGTTTTGACCTTGTCTTATTTACATTACATCAGTAATTTTTACCAGTGCATTTCTCCTAAATCGGATCATTATTATTATTATTAATTTTTATAGCGCTTCTTCTGCTCGTCATTTTTACAGTGGAGGTTTTAGTATTCACCTTTTGGAATCATTTTTTAAGAGTGAATTTCCTGACCATCACCTTGGATATTTTACAGTGCATCCTGTGGTTGTCATTTTTTACAGTGTGTTCATGTGAAACCATGAACAGAAACTAAACATATACATTAAGTCAGGTAATACAACAGCACTTAGAATTGTAACTTAAGTGAGACAAGAACAACAGTCTAAAATACAATGAATGTAAATGTAAAAAGATTTTAAAATAAAATAAAAATTATATAAAATAATGTGTTTATTAAACCAATTGATTTCATAAGAGAATTTAGTTCGAGGAGAAAAGGGTTTGGTTGGTTTGGCAAAGAAGATGGAATATTATATTACCAGTCCTCATGTGACTCATGACATCATCAATACTGATTAGTACACATTGATCCTAATAATAAGTGTGAATCCTGTTGGACACATATCAGTGTCATAGTGTTGAAGTGTCACACGGTGTGACCACTGAGGGAGTAAATACTCACGTTACAAAGAACAACATGACTCTCTCACCTGGCGGCTCTTACCGCGTGTCGTCCCCTCTCTCTCCCCTTTCTTCCTGTCACTCTCTGACTGTCCCTATCCCTGATACCCTGATGCCAGTTGACAGCAGTGACCACTGGGGGGCAGTACACTAGTGTCCACACAGTGAAGTGGAAGCTTGAAACGACAACAGGAGTCGTGTCCCTGCAGGAGACCGTGAGCGCGGACAGACTTGATGTGTTACTCTAGTTAAACAGACTGTGGACTGAATCAAGGTAAGTCTGCTTAGTTTGATGGTTTAACAGCGAGTTTCTCTTCGTTGTTCTCATGGTCAGTTACCTGCTGTATAATCTGAGTTTGTATTAGTCGATGCATTAGCTTGTTTGAAGCCAGACAGCTCTACACTTTGTTGATTTAAGGCTTTATTTACTGTAACAGCCTTATGATCACTGATTATCAATATTCATTCCACTGAACAGCTGTTGAACAGATGTAGCTCTTTAGTTCTGTCTTCTTCCTCTCTGGGTATTTCCTGCTTCAACTTTAGTTTCACTTTTAAGGGCCGTTCACACCAAGAACGATTTCTGTAAATATATCGTGTTAAAGATCAAGTGGATGACGGAGTCCTCACCACAAACATAACGGTAACGACAACGTTGAGATCATTTTCAGATCCATTTATTGAACGACGAAACACGAACACCCGAATTTACAGGCCCCACGTTCAGGAAATAAAATATTAACTAATGTGCGAAACATAAGACCCGGAACATGAAGGTGTCTTTGTTCCACAAAGGAGGGTGGGTTGGTAAAATCACTTGTATATTTATTATATATATATATATTATATCACCAATATGATATATATATTATATATTATATATCACCCCTCTGATGCAGCACGTCTGGTGTCATGTGTCGCAGCAGCTGCTACTGTTCAACTGTTTACTCATTTTTATGATTAATATCTTATTAATAACTAATGATTAACACAAACTTAATCAAAGTGCTTCTTTCATGTGACTGATGTTGCGGAAACAGTTTCAGGTAAAACGTAACGTCTCACACTGATATGAAACAGAGAAGAAGAGCCAATCAGTGGAGGAGCAGCTGGAGAAATGATGTACATTTGAGTTGATGTGCAGATGAATGATGTGTGTTTCTCTCCACATGAAGGTAGAAAGTGTGTGTGAGCTGATGTGGATGTGAACTCAGCAGCATGGATCAGTGTGAGGACAGAGAGGAGGGAGCCCCTCCCTCTAAAACCACTCTGTGTGGGGAACATGAGAGCCAGACCAGAGCTCAGAGGTGAGATGAGGATCTCTAACTGTCCATGACTCACATCACTGCTCCATCATTATTCACACTCAAAGCTCTGTGTGTGTTAGGGTTAGAGACACACCACACTCTGCTGGACCTGGACCTGGACCTGGACCTGGACCTGGACCTGGACCTGGACCTGCACCTGGACCTGGA